GGGGGGGCGACCGGGGTATCGGTCACCTCTGGGGGGCGTTCGATCGCCCCCACGGAACGCGCTCTCCGATAAGGGGAGCACAGGCGCGGCGGTGGCGGTGCGTTCATACGAGATCCCGCCACCGCCGAGTTCCGCCCGAGAAGGCTGCCGCGGGGGGTTTAGTGGGTGAGAGTCCCACACTACCTCGGAGTCCCACCCCAGGACTCCGAGGTATGCATAAAGCATTTCCCCCGCGAAAAAAAAATAAAAATGGTACACGGTACACAACGTACACGGCTAGGTTAATAAACTGTGTGATGCAACGTCACTAGCGCGTTAGACCGACGGAGAGCACCGATACCGCGGCACGCTCTAGCTCTACCGTACTGTCTTGCTTGCACACCTCCCCACATAGACCACCGAAATTCCTCGGCACGCGTCAACACCGACGGAGAGCACCGATACCGCGGCTCGGTCTACCGCTCTCACTCGCATGCCGCGACGTCACCCGATTCCCGGAATCCCGCGGCCACGAGACGGCTCATTACGGTAAGGCATTCCCGCAAGGGAAATTGTAATGAATGGGATGATTTTACTACTTCCTAAAAACTCCGTGTGATATTTAATAGCCTAGAAAACAGTGTGTCGATACAGGGTTTCGATTTATTTACGAAACTAATCTGAGCAGTTGCAGCATTCTTTGACACCAATTTTCAAAAAAATAAAACTTCTGTATTTCACTCAATTTGAGAGACACGTAGCTGAATATTAACATACGTTTATTATTTAATTACTCGCAATAAATAAAATTTTTGTAAGTAAATTACGTGTAAGTAAATTCATATGTACAAACTTACCAATTGCCAGAAAGTAATTGTTCATGGGTTGGTGCGTATTAAGATTCTTACAATAGGCATTAAAACTGTTCATACTCCCATATATATTATGAATATGTAAATGTTAATAAAAGCGGTGTATATATTCTCCCACATGTAGATTTGAAAAACTATTTATCAAACTACATCTATTCTGAATTTATCTGTTGCAAATATACAAATGTAAGGCAAGATGTAAAAACGAATAAAACAAGAACATGTCAAAAGTAACATTAATAAAATGTCCATTAACGATGCATTTAGAATACATTGTCTTGTAGTTAAGTGAAAAAAATATATACTTCTCCGTTTCATGTTTCATGACTGTCATATTTATCCCTTAACCTTAAACTGATGCATCGGATATTTTTATTCTCGTGAAATCATATAGATACACGTAATATGAATGGAATATATAACACTTCATTTGTGCTAATAATACTCAGAATTCATGCATTATCGGTAACGTCGGGTATTGACACTGAAATGGTAAGAGGGCTTCTGATGCCCTCGAAGCATGGGACAAAAAATTACATTGCATGTTAGGTCTATTCATATATCTCGTCTGTGACCGTAGCTTGCTTGCACCGTTGTTTCACACCGTAACGCTATGTAGTCATTAGAGATGGCGTGCAAAATCACTAACGGTGATTTATCATAGTGATCGCCGAATCACGATCACGGTCGTGATTTAACTTCATTCACGATCGTGGTTGCGATTTTTTTATCTTGAGTGAATTTGATCATTGCGATCGTAAGTCCTTGATCTTTAAACAGAAAAACGTATTCAATATGATTTTACGATGAATTACATCACTATTCGTGTTTGTAAAAATCAGTACAGAAAACACGAAATTCTAAAAAAATGATTTGCTAGGTAACATGTAATTTATAATTTATAATCATTAATTTATTCATTATTCTTCATTGTTTCTAATTATTCCTTCACTTTATACGATATAACTCGAATTTTTATTTTGATGTCGTTAATATAAAATATACAGATTATGTGTTGCGTGTAAAAAACTGTTAGGTTTCTCCACCAATCAGAAACGATTACGAGAAATCACGAATCACTGTGAAAAATCACCGTGATTGGGAACGAACGCGATCGAATCACGAGTGATTCACATGTGGCGACAGGGCACACGGATAGTTCGCGCCACCGCCGCGTTAGAACTAAGGACTAGGAAGTTTAAGGCGAAGATAGCGACACCTGAAGTGACGCAGACAATTAAGTATAGGGGGTTGTTAGGCCCTAGAAAATGCGTCGCCTTTTGTTCGGGAAAAAGAGCGGTACGGCATTCCCGCTATGTATAATTATTGATAGCGTTAATTTATAGTTATATAAAGAATTAGTTCACTAAGTATCTTTTGTGTATACAATGTGTTTTATTTGTATTAAATTATATCGTGTTACAAAGAACGTGTCGAGTTATTTTCAGGTACAGTCCTTTATTGAAATTAATACGCACGTGGCGATACCCGCCACACACACCGACACACGTAGCAGTTCACGCCATCTCTACTAGTCACCTGGCTGTCACCGTCGGAGACGGTACGTTAACCCGTGAGTCGGCACTACCTATTCCCCTCCGTACCGGGGATGTACGTCGCATATATAATTTAATTTTTTTTAAATAAAGACTCGTGTTATAAAACATGTAAAACTTTATGGAACAAAAACTGTCAAGGAAACAAAATGAGGTGAAACAAAGTTGTGTCACAGATTACAATCCCCCACATGCGTAACATCGTTATAAATAAATACCACTGTTGTATATAAATTAATATTCCTGTAAAAAATGATTTATTATTCTTAATAAATACAACAATCACTATTTAAGAAATATTGTTTTAATAAAGTTAGACTATACAATTAGCATGTTTTCATAGAAAACATTATTGTATTTTATGCACATTGCATTGCACATTTATTTTTGAATCTTTGTAAATAAGGTAAAAGATCGCCAATTCCATCAATGTAATAATCAGGAATGAAGTCCTTCTCCTCTGCACATTCTGACTGTTTCCACTTACTTATATCTGCAGAAGTATTAATTCCAGTTAGAACTAATAATGTTTTAAATCCACACCGAGTTCCTAATAGTATATCTGTATTATGCCGATCACCAATCATTAATGTACGTTTAGGATTGACATTAAATCGTTTTATCAGCATGTCTGCTAAATAACGCTCTGGTTTACCTATTACCACAGCTTGTCTCTCTGAACAACTTTCTATGCATCGTACCAAAGTTCCAGTACCTGCAACAAGAAGTGTATTTCTTAGACTTCTGACGGATATGTACATGAGATATTATAAAATACATTAAATTGTGGATACCAGGTATGACAACACTGTTTGCAACAGGAAACCTTTCATCTGTATTTGTTGCAATAAAATGAACATTAGGATCACTTAAATAAGAAGCTGCTTTTACCATCTTGGGATAACTAAAGTGCTCATCAAAACCAACTATAACTGCACCCACTTCAGGATCCTTTTTAAATGTATTATAAGGAACATTTGTATTAACAGGATCTGGTCCCACTCCAATGCTTGAAAGACCAACCTCACTTAATTCCTTTGCAATAGCTATAGTATAAATTTTTGAAATCATAATGTGATAAAATATAATATTTAATAGCAATGTCACTACAATATAATAGCAGTATAACTCTTACCTTCTGATCCTATAATATAGGTCTTTTTATTAAAATTCATATCTTGTAAATAACAAGCAGACAAATTTGCAGTACACAAAATGTCTTCTTTTGTTGCTTCAAAATTTAATAATTTACATTTCTGTACAAATTCTTCTCTAGTTTTTGTACTATTGTTAGTAACATAAAAAACTCTTTTTCCAACACATTGAAAACAATTTATTACTTCTACAGCATATGGTAAAGGACTCATATATATCCAAAGTACACCTAAAACATAAAATTAATATTGTCTCATATTTTATTAATTTTGAAAATTATATTTGATAAATAAAACTTACCATCACAGTCAGTAAGTACAATATCAAAGGAATTAAAAAAGTCTGTAACTTCAACATCATTTAGGGTTTTAAAATCTATTGCAGCCATGCTGGAAGACATTTAATCTCCACTTAGAATTTGTTATAACAAAAATAAAAGTTAATTCATACGACTTGGTTGACAAGTTTATTTGTTAGATTATAATATAATATAACTATAATCTCTTTATCAAACACAATTAAAAACAGAACAATAATAAAAATCTGTGTATTTTGGTAAATAAAATTTCAAATTTTGTATGTACAAAATCCAGAAATGAACAAATTTCCGATTAAATTGTTCCTAACCGGGGTGCCATTATTAGTATTGGAAAATCATATATTTAATAACATTATTGAATTGTTTATTTTCTTTTAAACAATTAATTTATTTAGAAAAAATGTACTTAGTAATAAATTAATCATCACATGGCATAAACTTTGATTAGATGTAATATTTATTTATATATATAGGTTGCAGAGGTGGGTACGTACAAACGTACAGAATACAGGGTGAATCGCTCGCTGCTAGGGTCGAAAGGCAAGCCGCCTGCTTTGTCATTTAACTGCATTTAACTGCCGTGGCCATAAACGTATCAACGGTAACTTACCCTTGCTGAGCAGCCTATGCGTGTGACAGAGACAGAGCGAGAACAGACATTCTCTGTGTCTTCGTCATACACATACACTGCTCGACAGGAGTAGCTTGCGACTCTTAACTACTCTTAATTAAATGACAAAACAGGCGGCTTGCCTCCCGAATCTAACAGCGATTCACTCTGTATTTCACACCATGTTGTAAATGTTACGTTTACGACAGTCGTATGCACGTCGTATATGTATGTACACCCACGAGGAAACTCGGCTTCCGTTAGGGGAAAAAGTGGCGTAAGAAAAGAGCTTTCTACCATTTAGCAAAATTTATTTCAGGTACTGAAATAAATGTTAAACCGAATGTTAATTTGGCATAAATTTCAGTAATTGCCAAAACTAAATGGTAGGAGGCCCTTCGCCTACCTCACTTACGAACAAACTCGGCTCCCACTAGGGGAAAAAATAACGTAAGGAAAGAGTCTCTTACCACTTGGTAAATTTATTCCAGGTAGTGAAATAAATGTTAAATCGAATGTTAATTTGGCATACATTTCAGTAATTCCAAATACCAAGTACTAGGAGGTCTTTCCTTTACGTCACTTTTTCCCCTAGCGGAAGCCGAGTTTGCTCGTGAGTGTACCCTCGCGAGCAAACTCGGCTTCCGCTAGGGGAAAAAGCAGTGCAGGAGAAGGGCCTTCAATCACTTGGTCTCGGGAATTATTGAAATTTATGTCAAATTAACATTCAATTTAACATTTATTTCGGTACTTGAAATAAATTTACCAAGTGGTAGAAGGCGTTTCTCTTACGCCACTTTTTCGTGGGTGTACACCCACGAGCAAACTCGGCTTCCGCTAGTGAAAAAAGTGGCGTAAGGGAAAGACCTCCTACCACTTAGTAAATTTATTTCAAGTACTTACTGAAATAAATGTTAAACCAAATGTTAATTTGGCATGAATTTCAGTAATTGCCAAAACGAAATGGTAGGAGGCCCTTCGCCTACCTTACTTTTTCCCCTAGCGGAAGCCGAGTTTGCTCGTCGGTGTATGTGTCATTTGTCGCAAATGAAAATAGAAATATGAATAATTTGAACGTTTAAACAGTTAAAATAGAAATTTTTTTTTAAAATAAGTAAAAACAATACATATCTCCGTTTCGTATGTAATGTTAAAAATGTAATATTGTAAGGCGCAAATGTAGCGTTTTGCACAGTGTGCAACTGTGATATTGGCAATACAGCTGTGAAGAGATTAGAACCACATAAATGAGTCTACAATAAAAAAAATGAACATTTTTTAATCAAGTAAATAAAAATGTTTATGATAAGATTAATAAAACAATACATCTGATTTAAGTATGATCAGTTGCAGTACAGTGTATACAGATGAGACTGAAAACATTTATGAAAAGAATATTAATATCAATAAATGTAAAGCTATCAGTAGTAATGAAATTAATTATTTTACGACTTCACTTAGAACCTTTCTAGTTACCCTTTTGTACTAAAGTTTTAAGAGCCTACAAAAGATTTTTGGCCACTTGTAAGATGTAACAATGGTCACAACAGTTTTACTATTAACTGTTGAATTTCGCGTCATCCATTAATAATAATCCATCTTGTGGGTCATCTTACCTTGTAGAATTAACAAGATCATCGTATTGTGCACCAAAAATTGTTGTTGACAGTGTTTTCCTTGTAGGATGCTTATATTGATCATTCAGTACATTAACATGTTCTGAATCAATTACACTAAAAGGGATATTACATAAAAGAAAGGAATTTGCTAGTAACTGATCAACCTTATTTCGTCCAAAATAAAAATAAACTTTTTATTAACATAATTTTTAATCTATATAAACAAATTATTATTATTCTACATCCATTTTTTTTAGTAATCTTTCAATATCCATTTTTCATCAATGTAACCGAATTTAATTCAATTGTTTATAATCAGAATTATAGATATTTATAGATATTTTCATTTCAGATATACGACATTTACGACATTTAATACACGTGTCACGTATAACATAAAAAATTCGCGTATTTACCCACCTCTGATATATTATAATGTATAGGTTATGTTAACATAAATTGTAAACGCAATCTAATATTGATGTTCTGTTTATTTATCAATACTGATAGCTTTCGGATAAATATCAAATATCAACGAATTTTGATTCTGTAGATAAAACTTACATATTTATCAAAGTTAAATGTGTTATTTGCCTTAGATCTTACAGATCTTTTTCTGTCTTTATAACCAGCGTTTACTCACGTGATTTTGAATTGCAAAATTCACCACTTATTTTTTCATAAATTATCTAATTTATCAATTAAATAGAATTCTTTATATAATGTAAACTGTACAGATTAGTAAAATTTGGAATGTACTGGTTGTATTTTAGCCAATGAAGTTAATACATGCAAAATTTATGTACATAATGTGTTGCAATGCCGATCGGATTGATGTCATATGACTGGTATATGATAACACCAACTAGGTATAGAATAGACCTATCATCCAATGCTTTTTTCTGTCCCACGTTCGCAGGGCTACAAGTCTTGTAAGAGGCCGGTCCACAAGGGTAAATGGTACCCTGTACCATTTTAGTGTCAATACCCGACGTTACCGATAAAGCATGAATTCTGAGTATTATCACCGACTAGGTATAGAATAGACCTATCATCCAATGCTTTTTCCTGTCCCACGTTCGCAGGGCTACGTAGCCCTGTTACCATTTTAGTGTCAATACCCGACGTTACCGATAATGCATGAATTCTGAGTATTATTAGCACAAATGAAGTGTTATATATTCCATTCATATTACGTGTATCTATATGATTTCACGAGAATAAAAATATCCGATGCTTCAGTTTAAGGTTAAGGGATAAATATGACAGTCATGAAACATGAAACGGAGAAGTATATATTTTTTCACTTAACTACAAGACAATTTATTCTAAATGCATCGTTAATGGACATTTCACTAATGTTACTTTTTACATTTTCTTGTTTTATTCGTTTTTATATCTTGCTTTACATTTGTATATTTGTAACAGATAAATTCAGAATAGATGTAGTTTCATAAATAATTTATTAAATCTACCTTTTGGCCGGCGGCTTACAATTTCCCTTGCGGGAATGCCTTACCGTAATGAGCCATCTCGTAGCCGCGGGATTCCGGGAATCGGGAGACGTCACGGCGTGCGAGCGAGAGCGATAGAGCGAGCCGCGGTATCGGTACTCTCCGTCGGTCCAACGCGATAGTGACGTTGCGTACCTGGCCGTACCATCTGGTGTTTGGGTCGTTCAAGGAGGAAGGTCCTTCAAGCCGGCAAAAACAATTCAACACGAACAAACCTGCGAACGCCCAATACATAACGGCGTTAGCTTCCTCACTTTCTCGTGAGCCGTCGCGGAGGGTAGGCGCGCGTCTCGTACTCGTCCTTTCTTTTGTTACTAACCCATTCTGTGTTGCAGGCATTCGACAATCCTGTACAAAGGAACCTGTTATTGACTGTGCATATTGTTAATATATTTACTGTGCATATTGTTGTGTCCCCTCTCTTGTTACTAATCCCTTGTATGTTACAGATGTTCGAGAACCATTGGCTTCGATAATTATCTTCTTATGTACTATGATTCATTTACTGTGATTTATTTATTCTGATTTCTATACTGTGATTTACTTACTGTGCATATTCTTAATTTATTTATTCTGCATATTGTTGTGTCCTCTCTCTTGTTACCAATCCGTTGTATGTTACAGATGTTCGAGAACCATTGACTTCGATATTTATCTTCTTATGTACTGTGATTCATTTACTGTGATTTCTATACTGTGATTTATTTACTGTGCATATTATGTATTCTATGTGTATTGTATAATGAATAATATTTTTCCAAACAGTTATTCCATCGAAAGAAGATATCGATCAACGTCTACATCCTCAAAGCGTTTACCATTGCGTTAAGTTACTGTAAGTTAAACTTAAATCATAATTCGATACTCATTGTTATATTCATATTCATCATCACAT